TTTTCTAAAGTATTCAATTTAAAATTTACTTTAAAAAAAATATATATATATATTTTATCTTACGTTGATTTGTAGTCATTTGTTCATGCCCTTGTTTTAAAAATTCGGCAGCTTTTTCTGGTCCTTTTATATTGCTATATTCATCAACATTTAATTCTATTGAATTTTCACAATTAACTTGTTGCATTGTAAATGTTTTTTGTTCCATCTGTTTCCATAAATTATCATAAAACGTTTGTAATAAATTTTGTGCATCTCTACTATCGTTTGATGTTAATTGATTTGTTGCTACAGATGCATCCGATTGTAATGGTAAACATCCAACAATACGACCAATTCGACCACGTATTTCAACTTTTATTTGACTTTGAGTTTTCTTTATATCATTAGATGATTCATGACAAAAAATTTTTAATTGAATTTGTGTATTATTAGTTAAAAACCGATCTAATACTGAAATTGATGCACTACGTGATAAAGACAACGTTACTATTCCATCAACAAGAGTAGCTGATGAATATTTCATCCAACAAAAAGTTAGTATATAAATGAGAAAATATATTTTCATGATTATCAATCTAAAAAGAAGTATTTTGAAGAATTAGCTATGTTTACGTTTACTGTATTTTTGGATTTCATATGTTGCAAGACAATGAAACAAGTACCAATCAAAGTCAATTTCAACATCCATTAATGCACTTAGAATGAAGCTCAATTTTTATAAATTAATATTTGCAGCATATAAAGTATATTTGTGATACACATCATTTATTATGCTAGATAGTTCTGGCTAGCTCAACTTACGAAAAATACACTAAATTAAAACAATATATTCCGTGACATCTTTCTGTTGATATTGGTTTTCAAGCAGAATTATAGTTGAATCTAGTGCATTCGACATCTATCGGATGAATTATGCAGTTTAAGAACGAACGAAACTCTCGTATTCACAATTCATCAGTCACCTTCTTTGTTGTGAATTTCAAAAGTGATTTGAATAGATGCTTCTTATGACTGAACTTAAGTTTTTCAAAAGTTGGAAGCCGAAATAAATGTAATTATTATCTACTTTATATATACATTTATCAGTGTTTTTGAGTTTCCTAATTAAAAAAAAACCTAAATAAACTATTTATGGATTAATTGATGAGCTTTATTTTCTTTTTATCAATAAGATCGTAGCCTATCTCCGAACTAGTTATAATACATTAACCTAGACAAAGATCTTGATAATTTCACTCAAAATTCACTAGTCTAAACTTACCCAGCCAAGAACTTGCAACGAAAAAATGGTACAAAATTGTAAGAAAAATAATGATGTAAAACTGTCACAAAAAATGCCTGAAAATGGTTAAAAAAAGATAACGAAATAATGTTAACAACACAAATCATTTTTTCGCATTATTTCTGATCTTTTCGGCTAATTATTTATATTACTCTTTCTCTGGAAGAATCTGTAATATTCACACAAAAGAATCACTTTAATCCTTTTTTTAATGAATAAATCGTACTGTAATTTTGTGTTTACTTCGACACTCTTAGTATACTATGGCGATTGTATGGAAGATAAATAGACCAAAAATTCTAGGAAAGTGATTTAAAATCAGAAAAAGTATTATAAGCTGATCAAAAAGAATAACACAGCTATTTTTCTCACTTTAAATGGAATAACAGTAAGGATTAGATCATATATAGTACGTGTCCATACTTAATGTATACTAACATGTTAGTCATAGAAATTTCCGTCTCAATGTTATTTCTACCTAAATAAAAAGCGATTGAGTGTCGTTTATCTTATTCAGTAAAACATAGAAGATTATGAATGACAGTCGATTGTCCTAGCGCATTTTACGAATAATCTAGAATATCTGAATAAACATCTTGCGCAGAGGAAATATTCAAAAAAGTCTCAAATATTATAAATGAGAAGATTGACTTCTTAATTAGTACTATTTAAACTCATCAAAGATGTTCCTGATTATGTCGGATATGAATACAACGATATGTTACAACTGACACGTCAATCTTTTTAATAGGAATGGTACTCGTTCTCTTTCTTTCCTTTTATAGTTATAGCATTGTTTTTTGTTCTGAGACAAAGACTATATTTGATCAATAAAAATTAGCCAATCATATATAGTTGAATATAGCGAACAGAATAGTAGTGAGATGAATAAATAATGTTAAACAGATCGAATCGATATGATCTTATTAGATTTTCATATAATTAAATACATAATTGAAATAAAAAAATTTCGAATCACCGTACGACAATATTTGTTCTATATTTTGACGATTCACTTTTTTTTGAAATTTATTAAACCGCAGGTAATTCTATAAAGATGGGAAAGAAAATCGACTAGTATCGAAATATCTCTGTAGAAAGAACTAAATATATTTGTTCAGTTAATGAAAAATTTTGTAAAAAAAAGTCAAATAAATCAATAAGTTTATATAATATTCTTAAGTTTTCGTTATTATCAACGGTGTCATGTATAATTCGAGAGCTTTTTTTACAATGTCATTTGAAAAACAAGTTTTGTATAATTTTCTATCGATTGTTAGATTAATGTGAGGTAAAGACTTCATCCCATAAAATAAAATCTGTCTACTTCGATTTATGCGATTACTTTAGCTGAGCAAACGAAAATAACAATATGAATAATAAGGACCACACTTAATTTCAACAGAACGTGATATCTTTTAGTTGTTTACATCATAATGTGATTCACATTGAAAAAAATAATTTTGTGCCTAAATTTTAATCATTCAACTTCATTTTATAAGACAGATCTACTTTGGTTTTATTGATATCAAAATTTTAATTAAAGTCCAGTTTTTTTCTCTGATATCCAGGGAATTTGACTTCTTAAATCATTTTTCGCTGTTATTTCGACAGATCCTTTGTACTATTTTAGCACCCTCGAATCCTAATCGTTCCTTTTGAGAGAGAAGAAACAAGGTTAGATTAGTCGCCTAAGATATACAGTTTATCTCAAAAATAAATAAGATCTATCTTCTTTTGAAGAAAAGATGATGATGCGGTCAATTATAGACATTCAATATTTACAGAGTCCATAATTGTGAAATGATCAAAATTATTCATTAATGAATTATTATTCGTTTTAATGGCTAGTTCACCAGTATTTATTTGAAAAGATGCATTTTAACGACCACTTCTTCATTATTCACTTGACTGGGTACAACTAATCAAGTTTTTATTGAATTCTTCAATATGAAGATTAAGACTCAAAATTGAACAATGCGAACTGATAAGACGGTCAATTCATTTGATTTTATTGGTGGAGAAACTAGTTTTCTCAATAGGCTGGAGGTTGTTCTCAACGAACATATCAATAATTATAATATCCGAACTTATTGTAAAATGAATTCTGGATTAATTATGTTCATAATCTTTTGTTTAATGTCGATCATTTCAAATTAAAATGAAGTTCTAATTTCATCAATACCAGTTGGGAAAAGAATTTGCTTTGAAATATCGAGAAATAGGAAGTCTCATTCTCATATTACAGCTTACCCTTCTCTACCATTTCGGCGTTATGAATTGAAGTACTTCATAAATCTTTACTCACTTTAAATCTAAAACTTTTCATCCCTTAAATTGAGTATATTCTGCTCATTTTAAAACTTTGCTGCAGTAATTAGTGGTAAGAATACAAATGGCAGTTCTCGATCGGAGAGCCATTCTATAACTTTCACATATTGAAACGATTTGTCATCTTGAGTACAATGGTACCTATGCTCTAGAGAAGATATTATCGTATGTGAGAAAGTATTTTTAAGATGTAAAATTGAATACAACATTCTAAGTATTCTATATTTTAAATCATCAAAGTAGAGATATGAATGAAAAATAATAGTATACCAATAAGAAGATGACGAAAAAAACGAGTGAAAAATGACAAGATGAAAGTGAAGAATAGGAGCATAACCAATGTCAAATTAAAACTATCAAATTTATCGACATAGATCGATCCTTTCCTATATATTTGTGGAACGGTGAAAACAATCGACCTTCAGTTACTCTTGTTGTAAACAAAAACACAAGTATCTACTTTCTAAAAGTAATGTGGACATCTGCATGGCCTATCCTAACTCTCAGCGACATGTGTTTTCCGTCTTTTTATTGTTATTTTTGTATATCTTGCTTGGCATGCTTCCATATAGAGTACAGCTGAGTGCATATCGGGCTATATCTCAATTGAAGAAAAAAAAAACTTTTTCTTTCCATGTAATTCATCGCTTCTTTCTTTCCTGTTTGTTCTCGTCATAAAAAAATATTTCTGCTTCCTATGTAAACCATCATTTCTTTCTTATCTCTCATTGACTGTAATAAAAAAAAATACTTTTCTTCGTACGTAAACCATGCCTTTTTTCGTTCCTATCGATTATCATAAAAGAAAAATACATTGGTCGTTCATGCGTTACGTGAGCCAAGAGTATGAAATATGCACGATCGTAAGAAAATAGTCAACAAGCATGACCATCATTAAGAAAACAAGTAAAAATGATGAATATGAAGGCTGCAGAGAATATTAAAAAGAGTATTGTCTGCAGTTATAGAATAAATAAAGTTGTAATATCATTAGAACTAAATTAGCCGGTAAGACATGACTATTTTGTGTTTGAGGATGTGATACATGACGAGAGAGTCCATGAAGTCATCACCCAAATTAGTTAGAGCAAATTAACGCAAAAATTCTAGTGTTTAAAATGAGATTGCTAGTTTCAAGCAGTATCAAAATTTACTCAGAAATCCAAGTTTCGACAAGTTTTATACAATGTCTTCTAATACTTTTATCATCTATAAATTTTGATCTAAGATATCGATCTGTCAAAAACTATCACTTTTTCATAGTTTCTCTTCATGGATTTTTTTTCTTACAAAGATTTGACAAAAATCATTATCAAATTTTACCAGCCGATAGAGTGAAAGCTGCTCTCCAAAGCTCTATAGTTTCTATATGTCATTACTATTATAATAAGTGAAATCAACTTTTTTTAGTCTATTCTACATGCTTTATTTTACTCTTCTGTGTTTTATTATGAACTCATTTGTAAAGAGCCCAAGATAAATTCTATAGAGTTTTATAGAGCATCAAAACATGCATCATTTGGTAAAAAGCGTTTAGTCATAAAGTACTATCAAAATTCTGCAAAGTCCATCACAATATTGTTCAGATCACATTATTTTTTGGTATTTTTCTAAACATGTACGTATTGTCTTGTTTTTTTAAAGCACGATTATTTTCGAGAAACTTTAAACTGCTTGGTTTTAGGTCATAAAAAAAACAGTTAAAAGAAGAAGGTTCCGAGATGAGATCGAAAATCATTCATCATTTTCCTAGAGGGTTTGAGGAGATGTGTGAAAGAGATGTGAATATGCTGTGGCTGTTTCTTCGTCGACTCCGATATCCGCACTCTAGGTTTGGATACAGCACAAACAAGTCTTATAGATCTAGTTCTATCAGGGTTCATTTTGGGGCACCTTTAGCGAGGATTTGA